AAACAACATTCAATGCATTTAAAAAGTGAGGACATGCTGTACCATATTCTGTACACTATAACCACACTTTAACACAGGCAGATATGTGCTTTATCTGCTTCAATCTTACAGGCTTACCTTCTGTCCATCTACACCTGAAATTCCTGGAGGTCCAATTGAGCCCTAAAGAAAAAAGAAATGTAATCAAGTCTATAGCTTTTGAAAGAAAATGTGCAGTACTGTACAGTATGTGTTTCCTTTCTACTTTTATAAAATAACAAAAATATCACACAATGGAGGAAACTGAATGTTATAATTTAATAAGTCATCTTCAAAAAAGTTTTCTATTTTGAATCTTTGTCTTTCCCTACATAACAAATGTAACTTAACATCTTTCCATGGCTTGACTACAAAGATTTAGAATGTGCTTCCAGAATCAAAACATTTATAAACAGTGAAACTGTGACACAGTGTTATTATTTTTTTAAAGCCCAACTTTCTGAGGTTGTTGTGAATGTAAATGCAATGAAAAAAGGAAATGTAAAGCTATCTCAGGAAAACATTAAGTAGTGTAACGCACAAAATGTAATTTCCAATTTAAGCACATGCCAGGGCTTATCTGTCAATGCCAGTAACAATCAGCTGTCATTCTTCAGTTTCAACAGTCATGTCTGCGTAGTCAGGGCCCCTTTAGGATTAATGCACCCTAAGGTTTTTCACTAGAAGCTTTGCGTAACCAATTGAATTTAAAACATATTATAGCAAAAAGAAACAATGAAATGAATTGTTTATGAAAATGTTAGTCCCTAATTTAAGGATTTTGTTCCATTACCTCTTTACCTCTGAGTTTATCATTTTTTAAGATCAGATTGTAAACAGGATCTACAGCTATTAACTACAAGATTATCCATTAACTACAAGATTATACAGGATGGTGAAAAATAACCATTAATTCAGACATTTTGTAGCCAATGATCCAATAATGGCCTCTCGTGCACCTCTCAAACTGTGCGGTTAATTATAATAGTTGGATACACTGTAGGTTTTTCAGTGTCGGTCATTACCGAACCAATCAGTTCTTAAGTCACCCAAGAGGAATAGTGTTGTTTTAAAGTCAACATTAACTGTCAGAACTAGTAGGAAAGGTTCTGTATAAGATGGAAAGGAATATTACAATGGAGGTCAGGCTAAATGATAAAAAGCTTTTTTAGTACTACAACAGCAAAAGAAACATTAAGGATTAAGTAAAACATATTAACGTAATTAATGAGAAACATCTAGAAAATAGAAGGGAAATGGTTGACAAACTAAATACGTATTTCAGTCAGATATTTAGCAAGGATGAAATGAATATGCCTCAGACAGCGGAAAGGCAAAGTTTATTATTAAACAATATTATCCTAGAAGAGGCAGACGGTTTCAGGTACTATAAGCACTTGATATTAATAAATCTCCAGGGCCTATATGTATCCTATCAACAGTACAAATGGAAACATATGTTATATATAAATAAATGAAAAAATGAAAAATAGCTAGTGTAGTCCCCATTCATAAAAATGGTGACAAACCTGAACCGAGTAATTATAGACCAATATTTCCGACTTCTATTATGTGTAAGGTTAAGTAACCTATTATTAGAACAAAATCGGAGGACTAGATAGATTACTGTATATAGAAATAAAATCCTAGAAATTAATCAACATGTCTTTAGAAAGGGCAAATCTTGCTTTCCAACCTGTTGTTTGAACGAACGAAATAGTAATCAGTACACATACAGTAGGTGTTTTTACATACAAAACAAAGTTCCTCATAAGAGATAAAAGAAAACGTAAATTTGGATTGAGAATTGGTTAACAATTAAAGTGCAGGGAAGAGGTGAATTCAAATTTTGGGATGATATAATTACTTCTTAATTTGGGATGATATAATTAGTGAAGTATCCCAGGAATCTGTACTAGAACAATAGCTCTTCCTAATTTAAAAGAGATCTAGATTGTGGTATATGTACTAAAGTAGTTAGATAATATCAAAATAGGATGATTAACATACAATTTACAAAACAAACAAAAAATATGCTGATAAAATTCAAGACAAGGAAAACATCTGATAGATGTATAGGGCTGTGCATGCAGGTAACAAAAATATAAAAGTATTAATACAAAGTGGGAAATACAGAGATGGAAGAGAATACTTCCATGAAAAAAGACTTTGGTGTTTATGTTGACACATCATTTACATATTGTAGACAACGTGGTGAAGCAACAAATAAGCCAAACCAAATCTTATGATGTATATACTGTACAGTATATTTAAAAGTACAGAATTAAATCAAGAGATATTATATTGAAATTGTATAATGCATATATCAAATATATCCATCTTAAAGGTGTTTTGTGAATTTAATATTGCTTTATGATAGCTGATAGAATTTAAAATACCATGTACAATTGTGGTCACCACATTATAAAATATTTATACATACAAATATATACAGTATATACATGCATATACTTTATTATGCTCTGGCATTAGTCCAGAGATGAGCAACATGACACATTCTGGGGCTTAAGGGAACATCCTTTGCTTACAGGCTGAAAAAATTGAACACAGAAGACTATGAGGATACCTGATTCAAGTATTCAAAACTCTGAATGGCATTTATAAAGACTACTTGTGGAGTTCTTCAAAATGATCAAGCCATGGGACACATGATAGGACACATGTGGATTTATAACAAAGAACAGGAGGCACTTCTTCATACAAGGATTGTGGGAGTAAGGAACAAGATTCCTAACCATGTTGTTGAAGCCAATACCCTAATTTCTTTCAAGAAACAGTTTGGTTGATCCTTGGATCAATTAACAAATGTCTACTAAACAGGTTAGATGGGGCAAACTGCCTCTTCTCATTTGTATCTGTTCTCATGGTTTTTAATTCTAATCCTTATTTCAGTAGTCCAACCAAACCCTGATTTAAAGCATAGAAGATAATTAATTTGAACGTATTGGTATAACTCACCTGGCTAAGGAGAATGACAACCTGGTCAAGAGGCAAGGCTATCAGAACCCTGCCCTTGGGAGTGAATAATAATGTTGGTGCACTGTTCTCCTATTTTTATTTTTATCAGAAAGTGAGAGTAATGTGTACTGGACCTATCAATCATTTTCAGGGTCATGGAAGAGAATCATATTTGACCACAAGGGATAGCCAAAAAAATGAAAATTAAGTTAATAATCATGATTCATCTCAACAAGGGAGATAATGTATTTATTCATGTCATTCATGAGAAATGACAAAAAAATCAATAATAGTGGAGAGTGGAGAGAAGATCAAAATCAATAGATTAAAGAAAATGATAACTATGCAAACAAAAGGGCCAAAACAACAAGGCCAGTCCTTTACTAATCAACAGTCACTTTGTTATTAAAGTGGGTAGCTGTGTCAGCATGCGTAGGCTGCAAAGGAACAAGTAAAGGTTTATTCCATGCTGAAAAGAGAAGAAAAGAAACACAGTGAAATGCAGCGTTTCAGCTGTGAGGCCTTCTTCAGGTGTGAAGAAGGCTCCACACTTGAAGAAGGCTCCACGGTCGAAACGGAAACGTTGAGTTTCTTTTCTTCTCTTTTCAGCATGGAATAAACCTCATCTTGTTATTCACCTGAATTCAACATCACGTATCTGCATCTTAAAGGTGGTCTGTAATTTTAATATTGTTTTATTAAAGCATTTCTTGACATGAGGGTAGGGTCTAGAACAAATTGAGTGTGCACTAAAATGAAAGAATGGAATAGAAGAGCACTGGAGAAAACTGTTACAGACACATGATTTTTTTATTTTATTTTGGCACCAAGAGCAAAAAATCTGAATAAATGAAAATCAAATGAAACACTGTAAAAAAGCTGTACAGTAAAACACCACCGGCATGTCAAATATCAGAGATTGTTTTGCTAGAACAGTAGATATAGAAAAAGCACAATAACATACCAACCTCCAACGACATTTAATGTTTTCCCGATAGTGATTTATAGTGATAATAGTGGCAAAGGGGAGTTTTTTCAAGGATAATGACTCTAAGTGCATATACATTATTTGATTGCTTTAACTAAGAACTGCAACAGGTTTTAAAATTAAGGTGGTGGTCTTTTGCTAGTTCTCTGACCTTTACTACAGTGAACTGGTGTATGATAAACTTGGTATACCAGTTAAAAAAGGTTGCTGAGAGATGATAATGACTAAAAAAGCAATATATTCCTAATGATGTGTGAATGAATGACTAGAGTATGGGAAGCTGTGATTAATAAAGAGGTATTCAGTAGTTCAATAAGATCCTAATGTGAGAGAGAGACAAACATGCAGAGTATATTGGCTTAGCTCGCCTGGCTGAGGGAGAAATGAAAAGATGAGGCTGCCCAGACCCCACTTTTGAAGTGCCAGGGTTGAGCCAGCAAGGTGCTGCAAGGGTGTAGATGGGGTGGTGGGAGAGGTACAAGAGAGATGCTCTATGGGTAGCCCCGGATGTGAGATTTATATAAAGTATGCAGGTGAACAGAAGTGTGCGAGATAAAAATCTATCACTCAGCATGGAATAAACCTATTACTTGTTCCTTTGCAGCATGTGCATGCTGACGCAGCTACCCACCTGAACTATAATGACATAATAACATTACTCTTTGTAGTAAGAAATCCACATGACGTTTTGTAATGAGAAGGATTAATGCGATGAAAACTGAATGATTAAGAATGATTAAAGAAAAATAAATTGCAACTCCACATGATTTTTGGTCACAATCTTTGCAGTTTGTGACATTTGCCTAGATCCCACATGTATTATCAACTTATGACTGAGCAGACAAGAAGGTGCTTATTGGGTTACTATAGAAACAGGAAGACCCTGTCAATTACCCGATTACTTAGCAAAGTGGCACCATTTATGAAAACCAAGGGGTCTGTACACAGCTCCTGTCTTTCAAACTGGGCATTGTAAAGGTTTCATCTTTGATGATTTATTTTGTATGCTTTTTGGTTGGTCACATTTTGAACTAGCATTTAACACAATTTAAAACAGCTTGTGCTGCATTTACAGTTTTTCATAGGTATCGCAGAATACCGAACAATGAAGTTGCATGGTGATCTTGTGAAAGATTGAACTGAGCCAGCTTATCCAGATTTCAAAGCCACTGATTATCCTCATCTTTTTTAACTGAGACCTGCCAACATGAATTATAATTATTTAAGTTGCTGTCAGCTTTGACTGTACCTTTTGTCCCGGAGGTCCCTGTGGTCCCTGGAAAAAATAACAAGAAAATTGAAAAGAAAAAAAAAATCATAATAGTGGCATTTTGCTTTTTGTGAGCAAGTTTTTAATGTTTTTTTCCAAACATAATGATCAAACAAAGCTAATCAGAAAAAAATATCAGACAACAATATTAAAATATTTCTAATCCTTGAGTTACGTAGAACCTCTGCAAAATGTTTGAATGTAAAGAATAGCAATTATTTTTGCAGTGAGCAAAAGACAACCAAATAAGCATGGTCAAAGTATGCAAATTACACTGTATACCTAATTTATTTAAAAAAAAATAATTTAGGAGATCAGAAAATACACACATTTATTATGCATTCTTTTCATGCCTGCTTTTTTAAGGTCAACTACTTTTTTATGGTAATATGAGAAAAAAAAATGCTAATACAAGGTTCAGTCCTGGATTCTTAATTGTTCTTTCTCTACATGCATTCCCTGGGTCCTATAATCTCTTCAGGTGGCTTTTCAAATACTTTTTATGCTGACAGTGCTCAAATCTTTCTTTTTTGATCCCACTGACACGTACTTCTCCCCCTGTGCCTCAGCTCAACTCCCATCCATCTCCTCTGATACACCTATCACCCTTAACCCAACCTTTTAAGGTCTGGCTTCTTTTTTTCCCCTTCTTCGCCTCTGTGTACTTCTGCATCTCTTTTCATTTTGAATCTATCTTATCCCCCACCTCCTTCAATAACCTTGCTGTTCGTCTCTTCCCTCCCTCTCCTTTTTCGCAGAATTTGCAGAATATGCATCTTCTGCACACCTATCAGTCCACATTGTGGTATTCTTCTTGCTAGACTATTGCATCTGGTTCTTTGCCACTTGCAGGAAGGCTCCCCATCTATCCCTCTCCAACCGATCCAGACGTTTTTGCCTCACCTTATCTTTGCCCTTCATCATTTTTCTCACGCTATTTGATTGACTACTCCATTTTCTTCATCTAGCATCCCATGCCTGCCTGCATTAGATTCAAAAACACAATTCTCTCCTACTGATGTCTCAGCATCCCTGCTCCTGCTTATCTTCTCTGAACATTTTCTGTAAAACCTGTCTGTTTTCTCACTTGAAGAGCCCATTCATTCTCCACCGTTGCCCCTTAGTTGTGGAATATTTTACCCACAGAAATCAGAAGTGCTCCATCTTTGAGCACCCATATGTATCTGTTTAGACAGATCCTGTGATCACTCAGGTCTTGGTTACATCCTTCATGGCTAGAAAGTAATGTGTCTACCTTTCAAAGTGGTAATGTAACTTGCATGCTGCACTTACTGTAAACTTGATATAGATGCCTACAGGGTATTTACATTATTTCTCTGTATCCTCACAGTATGCATATGGTTTTAATTCTTAATATTTAGTCAATTTGTGTCTGGGCATCTGCTAAGCAAATAACTAATAATAGATGTGACTGGAGAGCGAGGGAGAACTTTCATTTATAAAACATGTTATTTTTTAGCAGAATATCTATTATATATCTTTCATTAACAATTTTGAATTTGAATTTCTCAAAGTATTTTTATTTAAATGTTTATACAAACACTTGTATTATTAGACAACTGGAGAGGCCTTTCGTATTTACAGGATGCGTGTTATTTCAGCTTCATCTGTAATGGACAGTATAGGACTTTATACAAATTAAACTGGAAATCTTTTACTCCGGTGTTTATGAGATTTAAATATCCAGTTATTATTGTTTGTAAAGTTTTTCATAAAATGTTTGCAGTTATTGAAATGAAAGAGAGAAACTGAAAGTTTAGGCTAAGAAAATAAAATTCAAAATATCAAATAGAAAAATGAAAATACCATATATCAGATTTTGTTAAGATTTTATTTGGCTTAACACATTGTTTAAAATTACTGTAACCATATATTTTCAAGAATACACAATCACCACATTATATTTTATGTCTAATAATAAGTATAGCCAAAAATCTGTCCATATTCTCTGGCATTCTGAGGTGCTAAATGTGCAGTTAAAATGTGCTTTGATGTGGGATTTAAGAAGACTTAAATTCTTGAAACTCAGTGCTGTAACCACATAGCTTCATCCTACTGACCTACTGCTGTGCAGTATTAGGAAATAAGTCATATTTCTGTTCTCAGTGTTGAAAGAGAAAAAACAAGATAATTTCTTGGCATCTGCGTCTCTGCCGATGCAAGGTATGCCAGTTAATTATGAATGCAGTCAACAATCTGATCTTTGATTAGGGAGGCATTTTTCGTTTGCCAGATATTGGTAATGAGGTAAGAATCACAATAGGGCAAGACAGACTGGCCCTGGTCTCCCTGCTAAGGAAACCAGCTGGAACAGCTATTATGATGGGAATGGCGCCCTGTTCAGGGCTAGAATTCCTGCGTGGCGCCTGAGTGACAAGGGAAAAAACACAACACAAAGCTCTTTACAATGTTGTTGCTGATGGGGATGGCTTTTGCATTGACAAACTCAATTACTACATATCGACTTTAAAAAAGAAAATCATCATGGGATATTAATATTTCTATGTTCCTGCATTGTGTTGCCATAGACATAGCAGTTTGCCAAGTTCTTGCACAGTCGATTCAGGAACTGGAAGATGCCATTTGGCACATCATGTTCATTTCCAAACTGGGCAGCATCAGATGAGTTCTTCAAGTCATAGACTTTTCGACACAGAGAAAAAATCAGTATGTGGTGTGAAAATTGAAATGCCAGATTCTTCTGCTTCAACCAGGGGATAAAGAGTTGGCTTGAAGCCAACTGAAAATGGGGATTAATTATAAGAGAATTGTATGCAGTACTTTAACTGCATATACCATAGTTCAAAGGCCAAACACTGAAGAAAAGCAAAGGAAGGCTACTGTGCTTATCTCTGTTACTGAAGATTTTAAAATGCAGTTTGTAGCTGAAAGAGTTACTTCTCAGTTCATATGTCTCATCCTGGTTACTGCTTGTTTAAGGGTTTTAGAAGTATGGAACAAGCTTTCCAAACATGTTGCTGAAGCTGGTATCCCAGGTTCTTTCAAGAAAGTTCTGAATAAGATTTTTAGTAATTGGTAAAATATTAATTTACTCAGTAACTGTTCTAACTGAAAAATAGATATTAAGCTTAACCACTTAACCACTAAATGCAATCTTACAAATATGTTGGAAGTATGCACTGTGGTATGACATAGCTGACATATTTTGAATGTTATTTTGAAAACATTCAAAATATCAGTAAATGAACAGAGAGCTCAATGATGGCGTTATTCTGCGTCTGGCGTGATTACTCAGGTGCATATTGATTAGCATGATCTGATAATAAAACGTCTTTTACAAATTTGAATTAAAAAATAACGTATTTGTTATATTTTATTCAATGAGTATATTATATTACTGGCTAAGTACAGTACATGTTCATAAGATTACTGTCATATACTATTTGTATTTTTCTTTCTCCTGTGCTATGAAATTTAAAGCGAACACAATTAAGTTTTATATCTGCAGAATAAACATCAGAACACATCAGAACGCTATTCTCAATGAAAAGCTTTTTCATTTTCTTATGTATAAAATAATATTTTATGCTAGATTAAACTGAAATGTTTCAAAACTAGTTTTCTCTCATGGCATTAAATTACTGTAAACAGAATAAATGTACCCAAAGATTGCCATACTGCAATTTCAATGTTTTCCATTGTTTATCTTTGCAGGAACTTCAACTTCGATGGGGATATTTGATACATTACTCAGTAATTTATAAATTAATAAATTAGTTGTTATTTTGTAAACAGTGGCTTGTTACAAAAAAATTGCTGAATGATGTAATTCGCACATTACTTTCAATAACAAAATTCTTCTAAGGTGTTCTACATGCAGTCTACTACCACATACTGCTCATCTGGAAAGACAAGAATATAATTGCTCAAATTCATAAAACATGTCATAGATAAATATAAACTGTTTGTTTCACAGATTAGATGCTTTTGTATTCTACAAGCATAAGTATGCATTTTCTGCTGTTCCCTTAATTTCTTAAATTAATATTTTTTACACAACTAGATCCTATGCTTTAACAGGAAAACGTCAGAGAGTTGATCATTAGCTCTGAAAGTCTTTCATTTAATTTGACCTCAATATAACCATCTTTTCTTAAACGAATGAGACCTAGCAGATCTCGACAACCATTTCTAAGGAATTAATTATTGAGAGTTCCAGGGTTTTACCTAGGATTATTCTCAGAAATTCACATCTAGCAATGGGCAGAGAGCTGGAGGAGCTCTTGGATTAGACTCAATAGTTAGGGGATGGATGCACAGTAAAGAATCTCTTTGGATAGTTCAATCCTTCAGTCGAGTATTTTTTAAAGTCATTTGCTGCCTCCCAAATGATTTGTTTTTCATTTAATTAGAAATGCAAGGAGACAAGGCTGTGCAAGAAAATAGCGATAATACATTTTAGTTGCGAATTATTGAGAAAAAATTTAATCATTTTCAACATGTCTTTAGAAAAAGAAACTTAAAAAACACCCCTGCAAGATGCTATTTAGAGGTTTTTCTGAAAGCCCAAGGCAGTGAATTGTTTAACTACATTTTGGGATTGTTTCAAAGACCAAGAATAGCCATGTTCCTAGACTTGTTTAACTGAAATGACATTAGGAACTAAAACATTAATTGAAACAAATGGTGTATGTTTATATATATTCTAAATGGGTTCCAAAGTCTCTCCCACCTTGCTGTGGGACGTGGGCAATGAGTTCCTAATGGTCAGCACTAAAAGAGTGAATTACAGAAGCCCTCCTTTAGTCCTGGAGCCACTTCAGTTCCCGTGAAGGCCTGTTAGGATTCCGGCATCCTGCATACTCAGCAGACAGGGCTCTTACCAAGTCTATAATTTGTAATTGGCAGGTGAGTCAAAGACTTAATTTGGTCTGGGCCACATTCTCTATAATAAGGCATGGGGGTGAATCATCCATGAATTAGTTTTTTTTAGTCAAGGCCACACAAAAAAAAATACTTGCAGA